GGAGGAATAGATTAGATGTCCAGCCCCTGGTTATCAATGGAGGGGAAGTCTCAGGAAACACCAACTGAATGAAAAACTGCTGGTGACCTTCTACCGCTGTACCATTGAGAGCATTTTGACCTACTGCACCTGTGTATGGTTTGCTAACTGCACAGTGGCAGATAGGAAAGCACTCCAGAGGGTTACCACCACTGCCCAGAGGATCATTGGTTGCCCTCTCCCCTCTTTGGAAGAACTTTATAGTTCCCGCTGCCTTAAGAAGGCTCAAAATATTCTTAAGGATCCATCCCACCTGGGACATTCTTTTTTTGAAGTATTACCATCTGGCAGACGGTACAGGATAATGAAAACAAGGACCGATAGGCTGAAGAATAGCTTCTGTCTTAGAGCTGCAACTATACTGAATTCTATCGTATGGTGCAGTATTAACGCAGCATCAGGGGTTGTGCAATATGGAATGTGAAGGTTGTGTTATATGTGTTTTATGTGTGTTATGGTTTTTATATTTTTAAAGCTGCACTGGGGTGGCATTAATTTCGTTGTACAAGTTGTACAATGACAATAAAGATTTCTATTCTATTTGGTTACCACTTCTATCGTATGGTGCAGTATTAACGCAGCATCAGGGGTTGTGCAATATGGAATGTGAAGGTTGTGTTATATGTGTTTTATGTGTGTTATGGTTTTTATATTTTTAAAGCTGCACTGGGGTGGCATTAATTTCGTTGTACAAGTTGTACAATGACAATAAAGATTTCTATTCTATTTGGTTACCACAAATCAGACCTTACCAGAAACAGTATAAATAAAGCAGTACAGAAAACGCTATCATTCATTCAACAGTGCCCATGTAATACAAGGTAAAGTGAAATTACTTTTTTGGTTATTTGGGTTAAAAAGATGTGTTGGGGACATCATAGGAGCACAGAGATTTGGGGTGGGTGGCAAGAAAACTTTGGTTTCCATATAAAGAGATGGTCATTTATTTAACAGGATTTTGATGAGAAATGAGAACCATAAGCAATACTCCAAAAGCAATAATAGTTTTTCAATAGTTTTTCAATTAGAGGTTCTGATTTATGATCAGAGTGAAATTGAGTCTAGAGGTTCTTTTAAGTAAAATATTCTTATTATTCTGACTCTGCAGTGAAGAAATGGATACCGGGAAGTTTTCAGCTCAAGAATCTAAGCTTCTATATTTATTTGTTACATTTACATCCAATCAGGGCTTCCACAGAGGGACTCCTTGTGACTTCATCTCAGTGCTCACTAAAGTTAGGACAAGTTCTTAAAGCAAAGCAAAACTTATTTGGATTTTTGAAAGCTATGACTGTGGGGTGATTTTTAACTAGGCATATTTACTGCTGCCTTATAAACTTTATTTCACTACATATAATTTGGAACTAGATCTATACAATTTTTTTGAAGTGTTTTTATAAGCTACACTTAATTACTCCAGAGAACAGCTTCTCTGCTGAAAAAACTGAGTGAACAGAATTTAATTTGTGTGTGTTTTCAGGCTTCCTCGTTTCTTCACTGCCTACACTGGTGCCATCCTTCTACAGGAAAAGGATGCAGTTTTATTACCTGATATACAGGCCTCCAGTGTATTCATGCAAGTTTAACATATGCACATACAAAGAGTGTCCTAAGTATGAGCAATCTTCAAAATATTTCAATAGAGTGATTAACTGAGTATTAAATTATACTAATCTCAATGGGACATATATCTGTCTCATCGAAGAACTGCATGCTTATACAAACAGAGATAGGATTTTGGTATCAAGTGATATCACCTCCTGCAAGATAGACTTTTTAACCAAGGGAGTTCACACAGGTTGTTGTAAGCTATTATCCAATATGCAAGTAGTCCTCGCTTAACAACCATTCGTTCAGTGGCCATTCAAAATTATGAGAGTGCTGAAAAAATGGACTTACGACCCGTGCCCGAAGATACTGCCGTTGCAGCACCCCCATGGTCACATGATCAAAATTTGGGTGCTTGGCAGCCTGCCCGCACTTACGACCACAGGGGTGCTGCAACTCCCCCCACCTGCCTATCTTCCTCCCATCTCCCTTTTGGCCACCTTGCACAGCGGCACTCGATAGTGGCAATGCCAGGGCTGGGCCTGAAGTAGAGTCCCGAGGCCTTCAGCAGTCATAGTCAGCTGCCACTGCCCCTAGGCCTTGACTTCAGCCCCAGCGCCACTGCTGCCACTGAGAAATGCTGCCTCAAGCTCCACACCACTTCGCCGCCTCATGTCATTCCCCAAGCCACACCTTGTTTCTTCCCCAAACCGACATCCTGATCCTTCCCCAAGATGGCACCTCTCATTCCTTCTGCAAGCCATGTGTCCCATGCCTTCTGCAAGATGGCATCCCATTCTCGCGATCCTTTGGAAACCTTCCGGTCTTGCAAGAATGGGATGCATGCCATTCCTTCTCCAAATTGCAAAGGTTTCTGAAGGATCACAAGAATGGGATGCTACCCTGGGGAAGGAACAAGAGGCACCAGCTTGGGGAAGGATTGAGAGGCACCGGCTTAGAGAATGGTGCGAGGTGGCAAAGGCCAGCAGTGTGGAGCTTGAGGCAGCATTTCTCAGTGGCAGCTGTGGCGCTGGGGCTAAAGTTGAGGCCTGTGGGTGGTGGCAGCTTGCTGAGACTGCTGAAGGCCTCAGGCCTCTACTTCAGCCCCAGCCCTGGCACTGCTGCTGCCAAGTGCCGCTGTACAGGGTGGCCAAAAAGGCATAGATGGGGGGGGAGAGAGGTGGGTGGAGGGGCTTTGCAGTGCCCCTGCAGTAGTAAGTGCTGCTGGGCTGGCTAAGGCTTCCAACTCATGTGTGGCCTGTGCCAGGCCTCCCAGAGCCTCCCCCACCCGAGGCATCCCTACACTCCTTACCTGGTACTCCGTCTGCTTAACGACCCACAATTCTCACTTAACGATGGCAGGCAGTGCTGGGATTGCGGTCACTAAGCAAAGTGGTCACATGACATCTTGCTTAACAACCACATTGCTTAGCGACCTAAGTTGTAATCATTAAGCAAGGACTACCTGTACTGTACACCTAACCATAGCAAATCAGCCTCAGGCAGATAGACTGGAACTAAACAGGTAAAGGTGAAGTCTTTTTTTAAAGTGAGTCTGAATCTTGGTGATTATACAGATACAGTTTTCTGGGCAACAGTACAGAAGTGGTTTGTCACTGTCTTCTTCCAGTTTTCCCCAGTAATCTTCCATCCAAGTACTTACTAGATCCAATCCAAGCTAGACTAGGTGAGCAACAAATCCTGCATGGAACAAGCGTAATCCAGTGTATCCAGTGAACTCAGTGACCCTTACTTTTGGATGAACAAGCACGGAAAGAGACAATGTATTATACATTTGCTATATATCAGAAAGGAAGTACGTACACTTTGGTTTCATAGTCTTTCCATGCTTTATCAAAAGGCTTCTTCAAATCCTGCAGAAGTGAGAAGAAAACCACGTTAAACAGGCAAGTGACTATTTGTGCTGAAACTTTTTGTCTTTCTAATCACTTAGATTAAATGCTGGTGAAGTATTTTTGGAATAAATGCCCCAGCTTTAATTAGCTTCTTTAGTTTTTCTCAAATTAAAGTCTATACATTCGGAAGTCCAAGTATCCTGGAGGAAGGCTCAGCACTAAAGCTGTGCAAAGCCTTCAAAGGAAAACCTTGACAAACCATGCGTGTGAGAGTAAAACCTCTCCATGATGTGTTAATTGAAACAGCTACTTCCTTTAGAAGGCTTGCACTACTGCTCTAAAGGCTGCCCTGCACGTATGTCCACAGCCACAGACTGCATCTAGACCACCAGGATAGGCTTCAAAACAGTTGTGTGAACCTTCCAGAAATGGCAGCTTTATTGCTTCAAGGAATGGGAACTTACTCCTACTAAGATACTTCTTTCAAATGTTTTGCATAGACTGACTCAATATTCTCACATTTAACATTAACGTGAATTTCTAGGTGCCTCAAGTTATACTAGAACTAACCAGAGATCTGTTCATGCAATAGTTGCTTATTTGGTCCACATTAAAAGACTAGATTTTGTAACCCACCAAAACGAATACAGCCCATCCATACAGACAATAACCCCCTGGGACTAATAAACCAAGTGACATTCCTTTTTCTTGCTATAGCCTTCCAATGAGTTGAAGTTAGCAACAAAAATATAAGGCTGGAAGAGTGTTTTCGGTTGGATTTACACATTTGATGCCAAAACCAAAATGTCTACACAACAGTTTAGTGTGATGTATGAACCCAACCTTTTTCCCATAAGACTTTCGTGTGAACCAAATAAATTGATGTGACAAGCTAATGGAGAACTTTTTTTCTAGATGGCCTCCTCTATGTGCATCTCTGATTTAAGGAGCAACACAGAATGTCCTATCTCCTGCTTATCTGTCTGGCATCTCTCTGAGTCACAACCCCTCTTGCTGTCTAGTGCAAAATTAAACTAAGCCCTGACTTGACAGTGGGTGTAACTGCATTACACAATAAGCCTAACTTAGCACCAGTCTTGTATAAGTTATTACTTATGGGTGCTGCACCATATGATGTCGGAAACCAAAGTCTGCCATGGTTTGCTGATTGGCCTCTCTGTTACTAACCCAGCCAGCTCTGCAGTTCATGGTCAGGTAACATTTTTTGCCTTTTATTTTTTGTTAAAAATGTTTTTTTAAAGCATAATCCAGTTGGGGTCAAGAGACACAAGTTGAGGAAAAACTGAACTGTACTTTCATGAAACTTTATTTCAACATTTTTGGATGGGAACGAAAGTGAAAAAATATCTTCAGCTTCCCATTCCTATTACTGGAGGGCAGATCACTATCACAATCCCTCAGTGAATAAATGAACAAGTATAACTCATTTGTTTAATTGGGTTCTCTTTATCTAGTTTTTGGACTTGTGTGGAGAACAGATGTTTTAGATCATATTTCTGCAGAAGTATTTAAAATTTGAAAGGGTTTACAAACCTTTAAATATCACTGTATATTAGTTCTAAAATAAACCACTACATCTAAAATGAAAAATAGTCCACCTAGAAGGATGAGGCAGTTGGAAGTGATAGCAAAGAAGTATGTTTTTCTCCAGCACAAATTATAACATGTACTTATGCTAATAATTAAATAACAACTTTAAAAAATAGAAACACGTAACATACCCCTTTTACTCCTTTTAGATCGCCCTTTAACAAACTGTCCAGTGGAAACGTGATTATATTGTTCATGTTCTGGATCTATAACAAAAAAAAAATGTTTTCATCTACAAAACATTTAAATATTTCTAAATGAATACCTAGTTAGCTTTCCATGAAAGAGATACAAGATACCCATTTGTGTAGAAAGGGAAAAGGATAATGAAGAGTGCACTTCCCACATTTTTGTTGGATTTAGGAATGCTTCATTTCCCCAATCAGTTATAGTAATAATGTTGAGATTATTACTCTCATTCTGACTGGGAATTATGTACAATTTAATCTGAACACATCTAGAAATCACCAGGTTGGAGGAGACTGAATACTTGATTATTAAGTCACACAGCTCAAATTTTAACTTGAGGCAAGAGGCATAACAGATGAAACAATATGTTTGTGTACAAGTTGCAAGCAATATACATGTAAACAAATTACTGACCCATATCTTGGATAGTAGCTTATTAATCAACAGAGGCAAAACGTAAAAGCAAAAAGTTGTTCATTTAATATTCCTTCTTGACTGCAGCAATTTCAGAGATGTAACTTTCCAAAGGATCCTTAATTGTCCCTTTGTGTGGCTGTTTACACCCATTGTCTCTTCCCATCTCTCACCCTTCATTCCTTCAGTGATCCCAACCAGAGCATATATGAAAGCCACAATATCATGCAGCTATCAATATTTAGCAATGCGACAATCTTTTATTTGTCAAATAATTAGTCCTAACAGTTGATCTTGCTTTCCCAGAGTTCTCAAAAATTAAATCCTTAGAAGCAGTGTTTTTCAACTTGATCGAGATTCTTGTGAAATGGGTCTCCTTTGGCTCACCCCAATTTCAAACTGAACTTGATCATACAACTCATCAACCTCCTCTTCTGCATCAGTGATTGGAGCATAAACTTGAACGATGTTCATATTAAAGGATTGCCTACAAAGTCTAACTGATATTATTTGGTCATTGATTGTGTTGTAGTCAAGTAGTGTTTTTGCTATACACTTGCTAAGTATAAAAGCAAGTTCCTTCTTTGTATTTCATGTCCTGATTAATAAGCAGTGTGATCTTTTAACTGAAAGTGTCCAATCTCAGTCCACCTCAATTCACTGATGCCTAAAATGTCAATCTGTAGTCATCTCATCTTTCACTGTGTTGAGCTTTCCTGTGCTCATGCTTCTTATGTTCTATGTTCTTGTCTACCTGGCATGGTACTCCAGGCAGGAAGCATGACCAGATGGACTAATTCTATTGTAAGGCTACATTAACAGAATTTTGCAAGTCTGAAAGTACATCTCTCCCCCCACCTCCCGTTGCCTTTACAGTCCAAGAAACTAGGGAGGGTCCCTTCTGAGATGTTTGCCATGCCCACATTCCTGCTGCGGGCTAAGCTGCCTCTTGTCTGACTGTTCCCCTGGCTGTGGCTCTTCCCCGTCTCCCAAGGTCATTCCCACATGCCATTAAAGTTCCTGCTTTAATCCTGTCTTTGCTGCTTTGGATTTTATTTTCCAATATGGCAGCATCAGCAATTAGATATCCTGAAGGCTTTAATCTAGCCATGTCATAAACACCATTAGTACTTCAAAAGACCTCCAGCTCTTCCTCAGCAGCACGCTGAGTGCCATCCGACCTGAGACGGCCTGCAGGTAGGCTTTGTTGGTGCTGCACACACTTCCACCCCTCGCTGGAGCCTGCAGGCCGGTTCTCCAGGAGCGCTTCTAACGTAAGCTGCAGAGCACGTGCTGCATCTCTGGGAAGCCCCTGTCCCTCTGCTTCCTCACCACCCTGCACAGCGTCTCCCGCACAGCTGCCACCTTCACCTGGGGAACTGCCTCTGCGTCCCCTTTTTTTAAAAATAATTTTTATTAAAAGATTTTTTAACAATAATAAAAGACAAACATACAGTATAAATTTATAAAAAAGAAAAGGATGAAGATATAAAACAGTGAAAAAAGGAAGTAAATAGCGAAAAGAAAAGAAAAAAATATATAAAGAAGCGGATTCTGATCTTTTTTACAGCAATTACAAATGAATTTATGATCTATCCTCCCTCTTTAAGATTACATCATAATTCTCTTCTTCCCACATTCTGCCCTTTTTAATCATCAAATCCATAAGTCACCAGTTCATTTTATTTTCTTTACAGTAAAACGTCCATAAAGGGTTTCCAATCACTAATAAATGTACTTGTTGTCTTCTCTCTAATCAAACAAGTCAATTTTGCCATTTCTGGAAATTCCGTCATCTTCCGTCACCAGCCATTCCTCCATCGTTAGTATTTCAGAATCTTTCCATCTTTGTGCATATAATCATCTTGATCTTGCTCCACCTCTGCTTCTCCTGCGGGCCATTGCTTCCTGCACCGGTGGCAGAAGATAGAGGTCCTCTGCCTGCACCGCTGCTGGCTCCATCCTGCTGCCTTCTCCCTGGCTGGGCCTGGCAAGCTCCCTTTGGCAGACAAGGCTCCACTCCACTGCCATGCGTGTCCCAGGGCTGCGCCCTCACCCAGCGCTTGGATCCCAGGCCAGCAGAGGAAGAAGATGGTGAAGGTCAGCTGGGGCAGTGGCAGCAGCGGGGGTAGGCGGCGGACTACAGGGCAGTCAAAAGGACAGAGATGGGGGAGATAGGCGGGTGGCAGGAGTTGAAGCAGAGGCAGTTTGCACAGGGCAAAAGTGTGAGCTCCTTGCCTAACAACCACAATCTGGACTGCCATCACTAAGTGGCGCAGTCATGATGTTTTGCTTAATGACCGCTTCACTTAGTGACCGAAATTCTGGTCCCAATTAGGGTCGTAACACAAGAACTACCTGTAATGCTACAGCTCCTATACTTCCCAGTTAGATAGGCTTTGGAAGAAAACAGGCTGGGAAAGGTTGTTCTAAATCCTGAAGTCAGCTAAAACCTGCTTGATTTTAAAAAGTGGGGCTACATAAAATGTGGCACTTTTTAATCTGTTTTCTTTGCTGGTCATATGGCTTCTTTCCTCTTCTTACCTTATTGAAGACTGTTAGGTGGAAATGGATTGCCAAAGGGTTTATGAGTAACATTTCTATTAAACTGTGAACAACCGATATTGAATTAGATGCTGAAGCACTGAAGTGTAAGAGCTGTAAATGCAATTATTTAGGTGATTTTTTTCTCCAAGGGCAACTTTCCTGTATGTAGAACACATTTAACAGTTTTAGTTTGCATTTAACTATTAGTTATATTTTGTAGGCAGAAAATAAGCTTGTGAACATTTCTCAGTTCCTAAATCCATTGTTAGCAAAAGTTTTACCTACTTAATTTCTATATCTGAACCTGCTGAATCTGAATCAATTGTGATCAGCTTTGATGTTTGAATTAATGTTAAATCAGCAGGAGAACACTTCAAAACATTTAATGTTAGAGCAGAGGCAGTTCTAAGCATATAAGGGAGCCCACTTGTTTTTTTAAGAGAAGGAGAAATTCATCAAAGGCTTTGCTTCTTCTGTTCCCATTTATTAACATTTGTTAAAACATTAGACTACTGACTTGTTTGAAATTGGGTACAACTTCCATATTAACAATATTTATCTTAGATTCTTCAGTGGTTATAACTGAATGCGATGATTTAGCCACTAAAAAACTTTTTCTAATATAAGAATTGTTGAGGTTTCTAGGCTTCAGTTCCCAGTGAGAAGATAACAAACATTTTAACTGGATATATTACCATTCTCCTATTTTAGGCAGATTATATATACATCTCAGAAGTTTTAAAAATATAATAAATTATAGGCTGATCTACACTATTCATACCCATTTCACATCATACTTTTTAAAAAAAACATTCTATTATGCACCATTTTAAATAATAATTATCCCAGAGAGTTTTTCACAAGGACAATGATCAAACTCAAATCTCCTTCCTAATAACCTTCAAAAGTGTTTTGCTGCCTTTAATGCTGGGAATATAAATACATTCTGACTAAAATTAGAACCAAGCACCTACCAGGATTTCAAAGAAGCCAAATAATAACTCTCTAGTTGTTCCCACATTAGTTCACATTCAACTCATTTACATTTAAAAACCCTCAAAGTTAATCTATTTGAATCTAATAGACTGTGAGAGAAAAACAATAGCATTGCTTGGTTTCTTTTATACACACACACAAAATAATATTGTGAATTTCCTGATGGCTTGTGCTCCCAACTCCTCTGAGAAACCGAAAAAGTATTAGACCATTTTGGGGGGTGGGGGGGTGTCAGTGTGCAGTCTTCCAGTACAGCTATTCTGAGAGACCTATGCTAAGTTTCCTACTCCTTCCAGAATACCGTCATCAAATACTACAGGTGAAACCTTCACAAATTTTCACCTTGTAATTTGACAACTAAAGAGCACAGTTGCTAGCATTTGGGGGAATGGGGCAAAATGCTGTTTGGTACTTCTAGTCATTGTTCTTTGTTATTGAATCTCACTGCTCCTTTAGTGCAATAACTGACCTCCCTCATCAAGGTAACCTGGAGTAGCTTGCATATGGCTGAGCAGTACTTTGTATAAATTTTTTATTAAGGATTTTGATCACAATAGTAAAAACTGATACAAACTAAACTTAAAGAAAAAAGAATAGTAAGAAAGAATAAGAAGTGCAAGGAAAAGGCACAAAAGAGGAAAAAAAGGAATATAATAAAGAAAAAGAAAAGAAATATATAAAGAGGTGACTTCCAACCTACATTACACGTATAGACAAATTAGTAATTCTTCACCCCCTATATGGTTACAAACAGATATCCCTTCATCCCTTATCCTATCCCTTATCTATAAGCAAATCCATAAAACATCAACTTTTCAATGCTGGTGTCAGCAAAAAATTAATAAAGGGTTGCCAAAACTTTGCAAAAAAATGTCTTATTTTAACCTTGATAAAATAAACCATTATATTCCTACTTTTTACTTCTAACAGTCTAAATCTTTAGTCCATTCAAATATTGTCATATGATCAATTTTTCTTTATCCCATTGCAGAGACTCCTTCAAGGGTTTAACAAGCCTCTTTTGTAGATCTGTTAAGAAAACATTTTCCAGGTCATTCTCTCGGTTCATCATTTGTATTTCTCCTTTAACTTTTTAAACTTTAGCCAGTTTTTTTGTATATCCAATGATGCATCCTTTTCCAAATCGTCCTCTTGGCCCATCATTTGTAGTTCCGCTTTCGGTACTTTCTCTTTCTTGTCAGGCAAAATTTGCTCCACGTTTGTCGTTTCCTCATTAACATCTTTTGGACATAATCTATCCATAGTCAGACATCATTACTGACACTGTTGATATTATAGCTACTAATTTCTGGCTCCATTCTTCAAAGATCTTTCATATTTCCAATGTTATAATGTTTTGTGTCATTTTGTAAATCCCAGTACTAACCAGAAGTAGACTTATTTTTTTTCCCTTCTACTTAGAATTGTTAGGCCCCTCTAGTGTCCAATTTCTAAAATCATAAAGTTGCTTATCTTTGTTCTGAGCCAAGATAGCCAATTAATTCTGGTTCTCATGAGAAAGAAGTTTATTTTATTATGTTAATTCCAAAATCTTACAGTAAAAATCAATATTCCAAATTTAACTGGACCT